GGGATCCATGAACATGGTATGCCTCTCCATTCATTTATGCCTTTTAAAGTCTCTCTGTGGGCCCTGGCCAGTTTGGCTCAGCGGTTAGAGTGTCGGCCTGTGGTCCGGAGAGACCCGGGTTCGGTTCCCGCTAAGGGCACGTACCTTGGTTGCAGTTTGTCCCCGGCCCTGGTTGGGTCGTGTGGGTGGCAACCACTCGATGTGTCGCTTTCACATCGATGTTTCTCTCTCTCTCTCTCCCTCCCACTCTATCTGAACAAAATATCGAAAAATGTCCTCGAGTGAGGATAAAAAAATAAAATAAAAAAAAATAAAGTCTCTCTGTGGTAGTTTATCGTTGTCTGTGTTTAGGTTTCACACATATTTTGTTAAATTCACCTCTAAGTGTTTCATGGTTTTGAATCTATTTGTGACTGGTATTAGTTTTTATAAATTTGTTTTAATCATAAGCCAGGGATAGCTTTCCATTGGTTTTTAGATAGAGTGGAAGGGAGGGAGAGAGGGACAGAAACATCGATGTGAGAGAGACATGTTGATTGGTTGCCTCACATACAACCCCAACCAGGACTGAGAATTGAACCTGCAACCAAGGTATATGCCCTTGACCAAGAATGAAACTTGAGACTCTTCAGTTCTCGGGCTGGAACTCTAACCACTGAGCAAACCGGCCAGGGCTGCTTTTATCATTTCAGTCTCTAATTGTCTATCGTTAGGGCACAGAAATAGAATTTTTGTATTTTGGCTTTGTAGCCTGTGACTTTGCTAAACTCGCTTACTAGTTCTAGTAGCGTTTTATAACTTAGAATTTTCTACAGTCAATAACGTCATTTACAAATCAAGATCGTTTCAATCTTGCCTGGCCGGTGTGACTCAGTGGATTGAGTGCCGTCCCATGGACTGAGAGGTCCCGGTTTGATCCTTGGTCAGGGCACGTGCCCAGGTTGTGGGCTCGATCCCCAGTAGAGGGCATGCAGGAGGCAGTTGGTTGATGTTTCTGTCTCACATCGATGTTTCTGTCTCACATCGATGTTTCTATCTCTCTCCCTAAAAAAAAAATAAAAATATATTTTTTTAGAAAAAGATTATTTTAATCTTTTGTTCCCAAGCATATAAAAGTATAAAGTATAACTTTTGTTGCCTCCTCACGGTCTAAACAAAGTGCTGATAGGGGGTGTTTCTGCCTCATTCCCACTCCGCCTCTCTCCTCCGAGTCCACCGTCACCGTGGGTCTCTGTGGACTCCCTTCACCAGGTTGAAGGAGCAATCTTCCAGTCTAAGTCTACTGAGGCTCCGTTTTTTGTTGTTGTTGTTTGTTTGTTTGTTTTATCCTCACCCGAGGACATTTTCGCATTTATCTTCAAATAGAGCGGGAGGGAGAGAGAGTGGGAAAGAGAGAGAGAAACATAGAAACATCGATGTGAGAGAGACACATCGACTGGTTGCCACCCACATGACCCCAACCAGGGCTGGGGCAAACTGCAACCGAGGTACGTGCCCTTAGTGGGAACTGAACCCGGGACTCTGGTCGGTGGGCCGACGCTCTAACCACTGAGCAATACTGGCCAGGGCTCCGTTTTGTTTTTAATCATGAATGGGCATTGAATTTTGTCAAATTATTATTATTATTATTTTTGTATATGCTCCTAGTGGGAACCGAACCCGGGACTCTCTGGTCCGCAGGCCGATGCTCCAATCGCTGAACTAAACCAGCCAGGGCTCAAATGCTTTTTTAAAAAAAATTCATTAATACATTTTTTTGCATTTTTTGTTCAGGCAGAGCGGGGGGGGAGAGAGAGGAAGAGAGAGAGAGAGAAACATCGATGTGAAGGGACACATCGAGTGGTTGCCACCCGCACGACCAACCAGGGCCGGGGACAAACTGCAACCGAGGTACGTGCCCTTAGCGGGAACCGAACCCGGGACTCTCTGGACCGCAGGCCGACGCTCTAACCGCTGAGCCAAACCGGCCAGGGCATTAATACATTTTTTAATGTTCACCTGAGGATATGCTCATTGATTTCAGAGAGAGGAAAAGGGAGAGAGAAACATCAATCAGCCGCCCTCCGTATGTGCCCCTACTGGGGATCGAACCCGCAACCCTTTGGTGTACAGGATGACGCGCCAACCTACTGAGCCACATTGGCCAGGGCTCACGTACTTTTTTTCTTTGAAACTACTGAAATGATGGTGTGGTTTTCCTGTTGCAGGTTGTTAACACGGTGAATTACATGGCCTGACTCTGAAATGTTTAAACCTCACACCCTGGAAGGAGACCCGTTCGATCTTATGGGTTATGATTTGCTGATATTTCGTTAAGGGCTTTGGTGTCTGGGCTCCTGATGGACACTGGACTTCAACTTTGTTTTCTTGTCATGTCCTTCCCTGCATTTGGTATGGGGTTATGATAGTTTTGTTCTGAAACACTCGTATAGTGTCTGTGTCACTTCTAAGTGTCTGGTGTCACCCTCCAGCCAGGCCTCCCGCCGGGACTGTCCCTGCACCGAGGTGACCACTGGACAGGGCTGTCGGAAGCCTGGCCGTGCCGGGTTGTGCTCTCGACTCCCACAGACGGGGAGATGAGGCATTCTTCTGTGAACGCGCCGAGTGTAGGAACCGATGCTGCAGACAGGAGAGGTGCAGGAGGAAGCTGGCCCGAGGCCCTGGGGTGAGCGCAGGCTGGGCTGAGGGCGGGTGCAGCCGCCTGAAGGACATGGGGAGGCAAGAAGACGGGTCTCCCACAAAGCCCCTAGAAATTCCAATGGGTACAGGCCGCACAGACACAGGGAAGACCGAGACGTGGCCAGAGAGGGAGGAGAGACCACAGGAAGCCCAGGGGTGGCGTGGGAGTCTTGAAAGCCAAGAGGTTTAGTCCAGGGGCGTCCAGATGGGCACGGTGAACAAGGCCAAACGCTGCTGAGAGCAGGAGAGAGATGCCGTGTCCTGCGGGCCGAGGAGGCCCAGGTGAGGCAGGCACCGGTCCAGCAGAGGGAGACACGGAGGCCGCCAAGTATGCTCCCAGCAGGTGGCCTCTGCGGGCCTGCCACCCCTCCAGGTTTGCCTCCAGGCTCACCTCACTCCTGGGTAATTTCTCTAGTCCAAGGTCCCAAATGCTCCTTGAAGCCACTGCACCCCAACCCCAGCCTGGAGCTGAGCCTCTGTCTGCGGTGGTCTCTCCATGCTGTGAGCTCTACATAGGCAGGGCGCACGTCTTGAGACCTCCCCACTTAGCACGGTCCCAGGTGACACGAAAGGGCAGCTGTTTTGAGGGCTGTCCTCACTTCTTGAGCTGAAAAGAAAGATGCGAATAGGTCCTCCCAGGTGGGGCGCTGCACAGATTCTGAATTCACACAGCCCTCCCCCAGGGCAGCTGGAGCAGGGGATACCCCGGAGGGGGAGAGGGGCTGGAGCAGGGGCTACCCCGGGCGGGGAGAGATCGAGGGCGGTGGGCAGTGGGCTACCTGGAGGGAGAGAGGGGCTGGAGCGGGGAACCCCGGGGGGAGAGAGGGCGGCTGGAGCAGGGGCTACCCCGGAGGGGGAGAGGGGCTGGAGCAGGGGATACCCCGGAGGGAGAGAGGGGCTGGAGCAGGGGCTACCCCGGAGGGAGAGAGGGGCTGGAGCAGGGGCTACCCCGGGGGGAGAGAGGGCGGCTGGAGCAGGGGCTACCCCGGAGGGAGAGAGGGGCTGGAGCAGGGGCTACCCCGGAGGGAGAGAGGGCGGCTGGAGCAGGGGATACCCCGGAGGGAGAGAGGGGCTGGAGCAGGGGCTACCCCGGAGGGGGAGAGGGGCTGGAGCAGGGGCTACCCCGGAGGGAGAGAGGGGCTGGAGCAGGGGCTACCCCGGAGGGGGAGAGGGGCTGGAGCAGGGGCTACCCGGAGGGGGAGAGGGGCTGGAGCAGGGGCTACCCCGGAGGGGGAGAGGGGCTGGAGCAGGGGCTACCCCGGAGGGAGAGAGGGGCTGGAGCAGGGGCTACCCCGGAGGGAGAGAGGGGCTGGAGCAGGGGATACCCCGGAGGGAGAGAGGGCGGCTGGCCATGGCGAGCGGCTGCGAGCAGCACAAACGGACAGGTGAGATTTGCCATCAAGGACTTGGACGCAGACCCCATGCTAAGTCCAGGAACCCAGCGGCTCAAACGCTGTGGAACCCCAACATCGGGACCCCCAACATCGGCAGGGTTCTGGGCTCCCTGCTCCCGCCTCACCTCTCCTCTCCCACCACCCTCTGCAACAGTAGTTTAAGAAAGGCGCGAGGGTTTTGCAACAAAAAACAGGTCTGGCTGCCCCTGCAGACGCCCCTCCGGAGGCCTCGGTGCCGCGCACCCTGGGCCAGCCGCCCAGCCCGACGGAAGAAGGGTCCACAGAAGGCCCGGGCGCCGCCTCCCCAGAGAGGCCACTGCTGGGTGATCGCAGGTGAGTTCTTTGGCCTCGCGGTGCGGGTCGCGTTGTACACCCGGGAACACGGAGCGGAGCGGGCAGCGCCCGGACACCGCCGCCGGAGGCGCAAGGTCACGATTCAGCCAGACTCCTTCGCAGCGCCGCCGCCCAGGGAGGGGACGAGAAAGTCCTTCCGCCCCGGTGGTCGTGGCCAGCAGGCGCCGCGCGCGCGGGGAGCCAGGGGCCGCGGATCGTCCACCCCATCTGGCCAAGGCGCCCCGCGCGCTCCCGCGCCGCGCGCGCCCCCACCCCCGCCCCACCGCCTGCATCGTCCCGGGGGCGCTTTGCGAACGGGCGGCGGGCTGGAGACGGCCAGACCCCGCCCCGCCTCGGGCTCGCCCTGCACCCGCCCGGACACCGCCTGGACCTCGCCCGCCCGGGACTCGCCTCCTAGGGTCCTGCTCCCCTGAGCGCTGGCGGCGGCTGGGCGGGCAGAGGAGGGGGCGCGGACGCGGGCGCTGCTGATTGGCCAGACCCGCTGATTGGCCGGCGCAGGAGCCACTCGCAGGCGCCGCCGCTGCAGTGGCTCCGCTGGTTAGGGCTCGGGTCTGCTCGGTTCTGCTCGGCTCGGCTCGTCTGCGCGGCCGGGACCGACTGACGGGCGTGCGCTGGGGGCGCGGGGCGCGGGCCTCGGCGGCGGCGGAAGCCTGGGTGCCCCCGCCCGCCGGTCCTCTCTCAGAGGCGGAGGCAGCGCCGCGGGCCGCGGAGGAGCGAGGCGCAGGGGCCGGCGGCGCGGGGAGGCGCGGGGGTCGCGAAGCAAGAGCGGCCCGCTGGGCGCCGCCAACCCGGCTCATCGGACGGACAGACGGACGCGGCCCCTCGCGGCCCCTCCCTGCCGCCGCCGCCCGCCCGCCCGGGGCGCCCACCTCGCCGGCGCCGGGCCCGGGAGCGATGACATCGACGGGGAAGGACGGCGGCGGGGCGCAGCACGCGCAGTATGTGGGGCCCTACCGGCTGGAGAAGACGCTGGGCAAGGGGCAGACAGGTGCGTGCGGGCCGGGCAAGGCCGGGCCGGGGGCCGGCGGCCGGCGGACAGGGTGATTCGGGGTTCTGGGGGCCCAGGGTCAGGAGGACCGGGGTCACCGAGGAGTCCGGCGAGGCTGGGGGACTGGGGAAGACCGGGTCTCTGGGGAGGACCGGGACGCCGGGTGATCCGGGGGAACCGGGGGCGCTGGGGAGGACCGGGGTGCAGGGACGCACAGGCCCGCCGCAGTCGGGGAGGCCCTGCTGACGGCGCGCCGAGCGGGGCCCAGGAAGGAGGCCGCCCCGAGTGCGATGCTGCAGGCCCGGCCCAGCTCCGGCCGGCGGCCGCGAACAATGGGCGGCCGGACGCCGGGTGCCGCCTCGGAGTCCCGCAGGCCGCGCGGTTGCGGTCGGGCGGGCGCGGCCCAAGGACATGCGGCTTGGACGGGGGCGCACGGGCCCGGCCAGCGCCCTTCGGCTCTGGCTGCAGGTGCGCGGCCCCGGCCGCATTGTGCGCCGGAGCGACCAGGCCCATTGTGCCTTGGGAGGAGGGGGCCGAGCCGGCGCCCATCTGCTGTCTGCCGCGTCCGCGCTAATAGGCGTGCCGCCGGAGCAGCTGCGCCCCGGGCCGCGCGCCCCAGGCCGCGACCCCCAGCTCCGGGTGGCCGGCAGGAAGGGAGGCCGCCCGGTGCGGTCTGCGGGCCAATGAGGCCACCCAGGCCAGGCGGGGACCTCCCTCCACCGTAGGAGTGGGAGAGTGCTCGGGCCACTGAAAGGGCTGGACAGCGCCTTTATCCCCTCCCAGCCTCTGCTCAGAACGCCTGCGACACTGCGCTCCCCAGGGGAGGGAGAAGGAGGCTGGGACTGGGCCGGACCGCGATCCGGGCCACGGATCCTCCAGTGGAGCCGACCCCGGGCCTGCGGGAGGGAGGAGGGCCTTCCCGGCTGGTTCTGGCTCTTTCAGTGATCAGGTTAGGTCCCAGCCAAGTGGCCGGTCCCCTCATCTGGCTGATGTTCACAAGAGTCGCTTTGTGAGAGGCTGGGCTCAGCCATTTTCTTTATTCTCCCAGGATGGGCCTCTCCTGGTGCCCAGAGGTCCGATTGGCAGTGACCTCCCTGCCTCTCTGGGACGTCCATTAGACCAGGACAGGCAGGGGAGCAGAGGAAGGGAGGAGGGTGCGGCAGCGGGAGGCGGCCCGGGAGGCAGCTGCTCCAGCGGGTGCTGCAGGCCTTCCCAGAGCCCCCCAGGGTGGCGTGGAGGCGGAGCCGGAAGGTGGTGTTTGGGAGGAAAGTGGGCCAGGTCCGGCTCTCTCCAGAGAGGGCAGTGGTTGTGATGTAAGCAGAGAGCGTGAGGTGTCTGGGCTGAGGGTGGAGGCTGCCCCTGTCCCCTCCCTGGATAGACAGCCCCTGTGCCAACAGCTGAAGCACCCAGGGGCCTCTGGCAGTTAGGACAGTGCCATTGGGAGTGGGGATGGCGTGCCCCAGGTTCAGGAGGAGGAGGTGGCAGCCGGCTGGGGCTCCACAGAGTTCAAACTACGCGTGTTTCCTGGGAAGAACCACTGTAGTTGGTGAAATCCTCCGTGGGGGGAGGGGCTGGGCAGCAGAATGCAGGAGGCAGAGAAATAACCTAATTATTGTACCAATAAAACGTTATCAGGAGACATCCGCGTGTAAGTGATGACAGGGATGAATTGCACGCAGTGCGTGTGCTGGCCTCCGTGGGAAGGCCTGGCCCCGTACTCACTGAGCTCTGCCGTCGCACAGTTAATTACAGGAGGTCTCTCCACTGTAATTAGCAATAATGAACACAAAAGGGTGCACTGGGTGTGCACGCCAACAACATGCCACCATTGCGTTTGGGCAAGAGCCCCGGGGGCGCACAAAGCCAGCGGCCTCTCCCTTGAGTGGAACCGCCCTGGGCTCCTGGAGGGGCCACCCCTGGGCTGGGGGTGTCTGTTGGTCCTGTGTCCCTTCTGGCCTCAGTGATGCTGGGACTGTTGGTGCTGGTCTCTCGACCTTCTGTGGAAGGGGCCTCTGGAGTTCGGTGGACGTGGGGCCTCTGTGCAGGTGCCTGCCCTGGCCCCTGGGCTCGCCAGCCAGTTTCTGACACCAAGGGACAAGAGAGTCGCCATTCCCCAGGCCGGTCCCTTCACTCCAGAGGGGACGGCTGACCTTGGCTGGGGGCCAGGCTGTCAGCCAGGAGTCTTTGGTGGGGGCCGTGCGTGGGCACCCTCCGACCAGGCCAGGTCTCCTGTGTCATGGCCACAGCACCCCAGTCTCGGCTCTCGGGTGGTGCGCGGTCAGGGGTGGCTGGGCCTCTCCGCCTGTCTGCTCCAAGCCAGGGCCTGTTGGGAGGGGGGCCCGCTGCCCAGCCCCAGGACGCTGCCCTGTGCCCGCCGGGCTCTTCTCGGGCGGCTGGCGGGGTCCAGTCGGCACTGTCGTGTGTTTGTGGCGGAGGTGGTGCCGCCCGGCTGGCGCAGTGAGGGGTTCTGTCACTCCTTTGCGGTTGGGCCGTGGTGGTGAGGTCCTCTCCCGTCTGCCCCATGTCCTCTGTAGAGCTGTCCTCGATGACCTGCTGGAGGCCTCCCCTGGCCGCATCGTGGTTTCCGACGGAGAGATGGGGCTTCAGGGCCTGATGGGGGGGGTCACTGTGGGGGGAGGAGCCCCGGCCAAGGCCCTGCCTGGCCTGCCCCGCATCTGGGGAGGCTTCTTCAGCCAGAGAGGGGATGGGCGGCACCCCAGAGGGCCCAGGCAGGGACCCCCAGGTCAAGGGGGGCGTGCTGCATCAGCCGTGAGGCCCCCATCCCTCCAGTCCCGGGAAGCGGAGGAGGGCGAGTCCTTGCCCAAACCAGGGTGCAGCAAGGCTGGTGGGCTCAGCTCCCGTAGGCCGTAACCAGGAGGACCCCTGGGAGGAGGGGAGGACGGGGTCTGGGAGCCAGGGCCATAGTAAGTGGTGTGGCTTGTCCTTGGAAACCCTTCCAGTGGCGGGATGAGGGGAGGGGTGAGCAGGGCTCGGGGCAGGGGGTGAAGAGAGACGGGAGAGAGACGCCGCCCTGTCGCTCGCCCGGCGGGCTCTCAGGCTGGTGGGTGGGGACGGGCTGAGGCTGCTAAGCCGAGGGACCTGGGACGTCCCCCTCCAGGTTCTCAGGGGACCTTTATGAGGATTGATGTGGGGTGCTGGTGGCAGGCAGGCTGGAGAGGAGTCCTGGGTGGCAGAAACCCGTGGAGATGGAGAGAGACACCTGGGGAGAGACAGGTGAGGGAGGGGGAGACAGGTGAGCTGGGGGAGAGTCTGGCAGACCTGGGGGACAGGCCAGGAGGAGCTGGACTCCCTGGTGGCTGGACGTGGGGTGTGGGACGGAAGTGGACAGAGCAGGACGTGGATGGCGTGTGGATGGCCGTGGTGTCTGACGGTCACTGCCACGGGCAGGCCACCTCAGCCCTTGCGGAGAGAGTCCCGAGCCTGCCCCTCTGGGCCCCGGGCCGGGCCTCGGTCTGTCTACCCCACTGTCCAAGCAGGGGAACCGGCCGAGGCGCAGCGCTTTGGACAAGGACGGCAGCTCCTTGGGGACAGGAGGGACGAGCAGTGTGCTCACTGCACGGGCTCGAAAGTCCGAGGGGCAGGACCCTATGCTCGGGTCACTGCCTCCTGGCTGGAGCAGAGGGGGCGGGGGAGCCTCACACGGTGTGAGCAAGGCCTGGGACATGGCCCCTTCCCCCCGTGGTGCAGGCCCTCCCCCGGGAGCCCCCCGCCCTGGCAGGGCTGTCCCTGTGGATCCCGGGGTGATGGGCGTGATGGGCGCCCGCCAGAGGATGGGCAGGTTCCTGCAGGTGGGCATGGAGGGTCTGGGTGCGGGCAGGGCCCTAGGACCGCGCTCCCAGAGTGGCCCCTGCCCGGCTGCCCGCTGTGGCTCTGAGCATCTGAGTAGTCACAAGTCCTCCCCCCTGGCAGCGGGACAGGCTCTGCAGGGAAATGTGTGCAAGGGCCTGCCAGGCAGAGGACACAGCCCAGGCAGGGGCAGAGGTGAGAACTGCCCTTCACAGAGCCGGGTGCTGCCAGGGTGGTTCTGGCTGTGGGTTCCTGAGCGGTGGTTCCCGAAGGAATCGCTGAGGCCCGCGGCCCCCACCCCAGGGCTCCCAGCTGGACACAGGAAGAGCCCAGGGGTCGTCTGCGGCTCGGGCTCTGCCTGCAGAACTGTCTGCAGAACTGTCCGGAGCAGCCGCCCAGCTGCGTGTGCATGAGCAGGGCCAGACCTGCCCTTCCCTGTCCACGGGAAGCGTGGCCAACCCTGGCCGCGGCCCTGAGGTTGGAGGACAGTCCGTTTCCGTCAGACTCCGGGCTCCAGGGGTGAACACCACCGGGCAGGCAGCCGCCTGGACTGTGCCGGGGTGGAGGCCCAGAGAGGCCAAGAGGCTCCAGGTCCTGCCCGTCCTCGCTGGTGGCTGATGGGCCTGGCCTGGCGTGGGGGGATGTGTGTGGATGGGCCTCCAGGGCTGGCTCCCGGTCCCGGGCCAAGGGCACGCACCTCCCCCCGGTGCCACCTGGCTCAGCTGCTTCGGGGACTTGGGACAGTCAAACTGCTCTGAAGTGGGTAACTCCATCGGCGGCCCCTGTGGGCACCGCTGTGGCCTGTGCTGGAGTTCCCGGGCCCAGGGCCCTTCTGCCTGCCCTCCATCTGTGCTGGACCGTGTCCCCGCAGGCCCGGGCTCCCTGGGGGACGCCGCACTCGCCCAGGCCTGTGGCCACACAGTGAGGGAGGGAGCGGAGGGCTCACGGCCGGAGGGGGCCTGCTGCCTGCCGGGGCCCCGGGTGCTCCTCCCGTGGGTTTGCTTCTCCAGCCACCCGGCCAGGGCCCAGGGCCCCTGGTGGCCCCTTGGAGCCCAACGGGCAGGTCTGCACCCCGTAGCTGCGGGGCTTCGAGCCTCAGGCCCCCGTCTGGAGCCTGCAGCCACCACCAGGCTCCGGCAGCTGGGCGCAGCGCTGGGCACATCTGTGGCGCCCGGGTCCGGCGGGAGGACAGC